CTACAGTTGTAGCAGATTTGGCTGATTTTAAAAACTTTTCATCAAACACTTGTCTTTAGCAAGGCTGAATCATTTGGGACTTGGCAATCAAAATTGCCTGCAAAGTAGACGCATTCATGCTACCCCTAAACTCAGTCTTATTTTTTTCGCACTAGACTAAAAAGTCTTTCACAGGCTGCATTACTGTGAGGAAATGTTAAAATTCCTAACATCACCCGTGATAATCTCGCATATTTTGGTTTTCCTGGAGGACCTTTCTCTTTAGAGAGTTCTGCCCACTGCTTATCAGCTCTTTCATTATTTATAGTAGATTCAGGACATTTTTCAAGCTGATAGGACAGAAACTCTGACTCGAGAGTATCAACTGCATCAAAATACGATTCATAATTTTCTCTAAGTAGCATAGAGGGATATAAGTCAATAAAATATTTCACAGATGAAAATGTCTTCTCAGTTTTTTTAGACATATCAGCAACTTCAGCATGTTCTAATAATGGCAAATTATGAGGGAAATTAGCAATTATATAATCACAAGATGTACAGAAGTATTTTCTCACATGAGAAAAAAACTCTGTTCTTTCTTTGTTAGAGAGTTCTTTAATGGGAGTCCTTGAATTCAGAGCCAACAACTAACTCATAATCTTTTTTTTGGCTCTCAAATATGTTATACCTAACATCAAATACAGAGCTTGAACTGTTAATAACACTTACCTTTACAAATCTACTTAATAATTCAGTGAAAAAATTTGCAAGTTCACGTTTTGTTTTGTGAACCTGAGGTTCTTCATATTGAAACAATATGTTGAATTTTTCAAAAACGATAAAGAAATTTTTTAGAAAGAAAGCTAAAGAATGATGCAAATTAGAACTAAGGACGAGAAAATTTTTTCCATCTCAACCTAAAAATTTCTTTAAGTTCTCTTGAGAAACTTTTGTTTTTAAACCTTGCTTAAACTCATCATTTGACTTAATTTTCTGTTTAGATTTCATCTTTTTTGAACAAACTGAGGTAGTATCGGAAACCTTGTGCTTAGTATTTTTTATTTTAGACCCTTCACCTTCTGTTTGAACATCTTCATTTGTTTGTTGCTTCTGTAATTTTGGTATTACAAACGCCGAGATTTTTGGTGAGAAATCTGTAGTTACTTTGCTCTCAGAACACACTTCTTTGAAATATAAGAGAAGACTTCTCCATTGTTCAAGTAAGCGAGTGATACATTTATCAAGGGATAACCATCTTGTCGCACAATGTTTTAGAATTTCTTTACCACCTTCTTTGTCAAACATCTGAAATTTTTTAAATTCTAATTTTCGTTTCCCACTTCTATGAAAATAATAATAAATATCTATAAGTAGGTCATCAAATGAAATGGGCAAAGTCTTTGCTCCTTTTTCAGCCGCCAGGTTGATCAGATGACAAAGGCAGCCAAAAACTAACAGATTAGAATGATTTTCCTTGAGATATGCACCAACTCCTCTGTTTTCCCCCATCATATTCCTTGCATTATCACAGGAAAACGATAAACAATTTTCCCATGGTATGCTGGTTCAGAATAAAAAGCACAAATTAGATTGGCAATATTTTGACCTGTACTCGAATCATTTAAAACTGGCAAAGATATAAGAGTGCAGCTCAATAACTCCAACACATAATCGAAAAATGTGACCACAATTGGATACATTTGATTGTCCGACGAGTCATTGCTCCCATCTGTCGCTATGTTAAACACATTAGTCTTCAGCTTTTTTACAATTTGCTCGGAAGTGTTATTTGCAATTTCTTGAACCAAATAACTAGTTTTCGTTCTCCCGCACGAGTATTTTTTAACCTCCGGAGAATTTGGAAACATCGCACAAAACAACCTTGATGCATGGTCCACAGCAGCTAACGGAATATTGTGTTCAAGGAGAAATCCTGTGAACAATAGTTCGCTTCTAATTGATTGTAGATCAATAGTGGACGACACAAAATCGGAAATTTTTGCCGACTTTTTCATATTTGTATACGCAGTAGCATGCTTGGCTGTTTTCCCGTGTGAAATGATATCACACTTTCCGCCATGTGCTATACTAATGTCTGTATTGCAAGCAACACATAACGCGCACGATGTCCCCTTTCTTGATTTTTTGATGAAATCAAATTCTTCATTATAATTGTCGCGAAAACACTGACTTCGCCAAATTTCTGACATTGTTTCAGATTACCATGTGGAAAAACATTCAAAGCTAAACTCAAATCGAAGAGATGCGTTCCGAGTAAACATTCAACACCGGTACGGTTGCAAGTAAAAGACAAGGAGTCAGGAAGCTAAAATTTCCTCTTGGTGTCTCTGAAGCGACTGGTACATACGTCATCAAATATACGAATGGAGCTAGAGTCGGAGCAAAGTGATAACGTGATTTGATTGGATTTCGCCAATCGGACATGGATCGCTTTATAGAGTAAAAGAAAAAAATACGCTACGATGAAAAATCGGAACATTTTGACTCCAAAATCGTATTATCGGAACAAGGCATAAAAATCGGAACCGTTCCGATAAAATCTGTACACTTGGCAGCTATGCTATGTACTTCTCAATTCTTATGATGATATTTTACCTCACCTAAAAGTGTATCACAACATTTTAGAGACAGTCTGCAAATATTTTTTATCATTTCATTTAAAGTAAGTAAGAATCTTTTTATGTCATAAATTGACAAATTGTACTTTGTTTTTAAGTTCCAAACAATAAATCGGAATTAGTTTTCTAATTTTCAGAATTGTGGTAAAATGGCCATTAACATATTCAATAAGTTCATACAATAAAACCTCATTGTGACTCATCAGAAAACAATGAAATCATCAATTCTGAAGAATAACAATAGCGATTAAGTATTTTCTCATATTTACTTGACTAAACTATAATAAAGATAAGCTAATAACAAACCATAATATAATATTTCAAGAGCTCAGGTTTGCTTAAAATTGCTATTGTCCCATACACACAATTACAAACATCAACCTGAAAGAAAAAGTAAAATGAAAAATTATGTATTTTATTTTTTAAAAAAATGCATTTAAAATCTACGAACAAAACAAAATACAATATAAAAATGATTATACACAATAATATACGCATAAAGCAAATAAAAACAAAGAGAAAGAAAAATTACTCAATTCTTAGAAATAAATGGTTGTTTAATTAAATGTAGAATTTAATGAAACAACATCCATTATCAATATTAAATTAGATTTAATTAGAAGCAATAATACTTCAGAAAATTATCAAAGGTAATATTTTAGAAAAATTGCAATGACCTTTTTTTCTAGTTGAAGAGCAGATCAGAAAAAAATAGGCCAAATTGCTCTATTTTAGATAAAAGGACAAATATTTGTTTGCTTTTTTGCAGAAAAAAAGAAAATTATGAATTATAGGACAGCTGCTATCACTAAAGAAAATAAAAAAATTTCATACCAGGAGTACATTGAGAGATTTGGGATGTTCCAGTTTCCAAGCAAGTCGATGAGAAGATAATTGCAAAATGAAATTTGAGGTGAATATAGCTTCTTGAATGTCGTCTAGTCGAAAACTAGTTTTCCCTTTGTGTAGACTCTGAAATGATAATAATAAAATATTGAAAAAAAAGCCCTCATGATTAAAATAGATAAAAAATTAAAACTTAATAAACATTGACATAAGTTTTTCAAAGGTGCCAACTTCCTAAACTAGATATCAAAAAACAAAAGTATAATAACACAAAAATATGTACAGTTAGAGTTTATAAATTTCAAACTAGCACAATTTTAACGTGTTCATACTATTTGATTCCTTATAGGTACATAAAATTAAGTATGAATTTACTATTAAATAAAAAAAAACAACACTAAGATAAAGGTACTAAACCTAAAATTATATAACAATGAAATTTCATGCTTCAAAATAAAATGTTAAAATCAAATTGATCACCTGGAATCAATAATCTGGTTTTTGGCCGTTATTGTCATTTTATCATCCTGCATTTGAACAATTTAAAATATTTACTCATAGCATTTCAGATATAAGTTTATGTTCCTTTGCTTTTTAGAAGGAGAGAAGGTCTAGGTTTCAGAACAACTTTTTGGAAAAGGAATTTCTTCGGTTATTTTTTATTTGTGTCTATTATATCATTTAACAAGGAACTTTTCACAAAAGTCGTGAAATTTATTTTATTGAAGTTGTCAAATAAAATGTACTACTTTTTGTAATTTCCCTCTCTTTTCAAAAGGTTTAAAAACAGATTTCTGACAAAATAGCAAATATATTGATCAGTAATAGAAGTTTTAATGCATAATAAATAAATGAAAACATACTTAGGGCGAAATTATGAGTTTCTAATACTCCAGAAATTCCCAGAGTAAATTTGTTGTTAAATAATTTGTTAAAATAATTTGTTGAAATTTTCCATGAGAATTCCAGATTTTCTCATGATATTTTAAAATTCATTGAAAATTCCACATTTTTTTTTTGAGTATTTTAAAATTTCTTGAGAATTCCAGGTTTTCCTGTGGTATTTCAAAATTCTTGCAGAATTCCATAATTTGAACTTACTAAATGCATTAAATCTTGGTGAACTCCAATGAAATTCCAGCAATCAGGTAAAAAGTAATTTCCCAATGTTTTAAGTAAAACCGTAATGAACCTCAAAAAAGCATAGTAAACATCAATTTGACTCAATTTTTGTTTCTGAGATACCTAAAAAAATAGTAATTATGTAAATATCATACATACTGCAAAATAATAATTAACATAGTCCATTAAAACATATTTAACCAAATACTTATCTAATTATGGTTTGAAAATATACAAGTAACACTTTAAAAGTAAAATAATTAATTTTTAACCATAAAATTTGTCCTTGCTTTGAAAGTCAAACAGTGTGATACAAACTTATTTAAGGATGTATTTTGAAGGTTCTGTTGCCTTATGAAATAACACTCTTTCGTGAATGTGATATTTTATGATGCATTTCCTTAACTGCTGAGAGTAAAGTCTATGAATTTTTTTTACAATATGTTACATCCAGTGGTCAGAAACACTACATCATTTTTGTAGCTTACTACAAACTACTTTGGAAGTGTAGTAACTACTTCACTACTTTAAGCAGACGAACTTAATTTACACTTATGTTCAAAATTGTTTTAAATAAGCTGGCTTACATTAAATATAAGAGAATAACTAAGAAGTACTTATTCATGTTTATATGAGCCAGTAAGTGTTTTGGAACAGTTTCAGACAGAAATTTAGAACAAATGGGTCCACAAAAAGAAAAGAATATATACATAAATTCCCTTTCATTTCTTTGATTATCAATAGCAATGCAGCTTTAAACTTTATAAATGTAAATTCTAATACACTAAACATTAATATTTTAATTACAATGCTAGCCTTGATTTATAATGTTACTTTGGCAATGTGGTCAAATTTATACAAAATTTTACTTATAATACATAGAGATTTCCATTAAATATATCTAAATAAAGTAGTAATTCCTTATAATTTTATTTCTCCACTTTTATACTTAATTTTTTTGTGCATTGTGTTTATGGCTGTATGGGTTAGGTTATAATTAGTTAACTATTCCAAAACTTACTTGTAGACAATATTTTTGCTAGCCTACATTAAAGAGAAATCACAACGTGATCTTTCTACAAATTCCACTATACAACACATCACTCAGATCGTTTCCACAAAGGCAGAATAGAAAATTTAGTATAAAAATCTTAAAATTTATTTTTAGATATAGTATTTTAACTATATAATATGATTTATAACTATAATATATTCTAAACTTTCATTGAGAAAACTTAATTTCATTATTTTTTATTGTATAAGAAAAATTAAAGTCTTAACGCAAAACATTCTCGCAACAGCCTATGTCGGGCCAAAGGATAAGGCTTCACTATTTCTTGATCAGTTGGATGATGTTGGCATTGTGTTCAGAACTGTGCACCAGTCGCCTTTACTCCCCAAACAAACTGGTACCCATCAATCTGAAGTTAGAGGGGCTCTAAGCTGTCATTCATGACAATCACTATGAAATATCATTGCTTTAACCATTGAGCTAGTGACGTTTATATACAGTCGGACCCTGATTTAACGAACCCCTATTTAACGAATTTCGCGATTTAACGAATTTTTTTTCAACCCCAGCAAAAACAGAGTCAAAAACCCCTAATTAACGAATAATTAACCCCGGATTAACGAATTATTTCAGCATCCGGAAAAAATATTTTTCATTAATTTTGATCAGAAAAGTATTGCATTTTTTTGTATTTGACAGATTCTAAAGGGAAAAAAATCTTTCCTGGGAGGAATAAAATAGAAAAAGTGCATATTCGTCTCAAACAAAAGAAAAACTCGTAACAGTGAAAGTCGTGGGTAGGTGGGCAGAGTCAATAAGACATTACACTTGCAAGGTCATTTTCCGGGGGTTTGTCACGTGGACTATGAGTCGAATAGGAGATTCCTTTCTTATCTTAGATAGTCGTTTATAACTAGTAATTTTTAATAATACATATGTACAAAAAAAATTTCTTTTTGAACCCCGATTTTACGAATTACCCCGATTTAACGAATAAAATTTCCGGTCCCGATGAATTCGTTAAATCGGGGTCCGACTGTACATACTTAGTTTTTAAATAAATTCTTGAACCACACCTGCTCTGGGCAGCATGTTTTAATTAAAGAGAAAATTCTTTAAATAAAATTTTCAAAGATTATAATTTTTAGATTCTTTGAATCAGTATTGTTTTTACTTTTGCAATTTTAAAGTTATATTACTATTTTTGCAAATTTAATTGAAATTGTTAAAAATAAATAATAATAAGTATATTTATACTTATTATTATTTTTTCATTAGTTATGCAATACTTCCAATCCAATTTTTGAAAGTTAGGGATCACCTTGTGACTATTTACCAGCCACATACATCCCCAAACAGCAGGTTGTGCATCTTTAATGTAGCCAAACTGTACAATCTAATAGCTATAAACTTAAAATTATTAATGTTGTAGGAATAATTTGACAAAAATAAATAATGAACTTACTGTGCCTTTTCTTCTTTCAGAAATCTGTATTTCAAAGTCAATATTAGAGAGAATAAGAATCATTTCAGACATAAAACCAGAATTACATAATGTTTCAGCAGCCTAAATGTAAAATGTTTGAAATGTTTTAGTTTTAAAGATAGCATTTTTTTTGTTAATAAAATATAATAAGACAATTTTAAGTTTAGCATAAATATTTCTGAAATACCTTTTGAGAAATAAGAGTATGATACAATTTTGTAAAAGAAATTATATTTCAAAACAAAATGTTTTCACACATTCTTAATTTTTCTTGACTGTTATTTATATATATATTTTTTTCAAAATTAATGAATCTGATTTATAATTTTTAAGAAAATCAAGTTCAAGGCTGTTTTTTGAAAGTTCTGTCATCATATGAAATAATGCTTTTTTGTGTAAATAATATGCTATTTTCGCAACTGCTGCATGTTTTCAATAGTTATCCATGGCTGTTAGTTAAAGTTTAGCCTTGGCCAGTGCCCTCTATGCTAGTTCAAAAAAAGGTACAAAATGCCAATAAGAAGAAAAATCATAGCTCTGCATTAGAAATAAAAAACTTTTATGATGCATTTTTTTTATTTAAAAAAATAGATCTGGACTAATGCTGCATTAACTGGTCTCATAAAAATGTTCAAAGTTGAGAATTATTCATTTATTTTGATAGTTTTCAACTAAGTGGAAAATTCTTATCAATTTGATGAGTTTTAAAAAAATTTAATAGCTTTTAAAGTGGTCATTTGTTTGTTCTAAAATCCAGATAATTCTTCCCCAAAAGATGTTAAATATGCAGTAAAATTCATAGTTTTGCCTCAAGTGTAAGGCACTGAAGCAGTGTTGTTTTTTTTTTTTCCTTAGTGAAAAAGATTAAAAAAATTGCCAAGTTTTCAATACCATTCAAATATTTTATGAGTCAAAAGTGCACTAGTACACCTAAAGAAAAAGTTTTAAAAAAGAATCATGCTAATTAAAATGTATTCCAAATAAAATACATTTTGTATCCATACATAGATTTGAAAATAGCCTTCGAAGAATAGATTAATGGAAATATAAAGCAATGATTTAGGAGTCGACCTGGGTTTTATTTTTAGGGCCATTTTTTTTTGTGAAAATATACTATTGTGCGAAATGAAAATATTTTTGTGAAAATTTCATAACCTTGTAACAGTATTTAATTTTCATTGTCCCTATATTTTGGGCACAATATCAAAAGTATTTTAAAACAAGTGCGCACCATAATTTGATAAATAATATTAATAATTTTATAAAAATAAACTTTGTGACCACTTTTACAAACATTTATTATAATTGTAAAGTCAAAAATAAAACGCCAGTTTTATAAGAATTTGAATTTTCTGAAGACGTCTTAAAATGGCAGCATTTCCAGTTGTTCTTACATTATTCCTCAGAGTATAACGCTGCATGGAAATAAAGGGGGAGTATAAATAATAATATTATTTCTTCAAAATTTTTTTCAGATACCTTTTTCTTGTGCTTAGCCCACTACCGCATCAGAGATTTTTTTTTTAAACTGCAGATTCTAACAAAATAACTTTCATAAACATTTTTCACTAAAGCACATGAAACATTTTTCTGTAGGATCAATATTCCGTAAGATAATATGAAGGGTGTGTTAAAACTTCATTTCTACAGTTTTCTTGATTATATCTAATATAGAAATGGGTTCTAACAGTAAGAACTCATACTAAGTTAGCTGATTAAAAAAAAGTAAATTAATTAAAAGTAAAGAAAATGCTTCTTACCTTTTTATCTGAGGACATAGATAGAAAAAGCACAATTATTGCATGAGACAATTCTATCCCAACTTTAAACTAAAAGATAAAATTTAAAAAAAAAGAGAGCATCAGAAACAAGTTAAATTTCAAGCTTGCCACAAATATAAATTGAAAATACAACTCACTTTCAAGCATTTGATTAATAAGCTCACTAAGAGAGGTAAAATGGAATGGCTTTTTAAAATAGGTAACCAGTCCTTCACTTTTTGAACTAACTCATTAAGGAGAATAATTATCACAGTAGGAAGCTGCATAAAAACAAACAAAGAACACGATTAGTTTCATGAAAAAAGAAACAATATTAATAATATTAGTTTTATGAAAGGAGTATATTTTTTTTTTGCATATTATTTCTTTCTCTCAATGCCAAATTTTAAAAATTTTTACACTGCACAGATGCTAATTTTCAGCCAATAATAAGTAAACTTAATAATACTCAAGCTCATTTCAAAATTCCACGATGTTTATTTTCAGTGGATCACATCTCATGTTGACATATACAGCAATGAGCAGGCGGATAGACTGGCCAAGGAGGGCTGTTACCATGCTAATCCTTCCTCAACACTTATCTTCCTAGAACAACAATCCATAGTTAATTCTGAAATTTCAAAGGGGTAGAAGTTTCCTAATTGCCATCACTGGTAAATGGGCAAAGAGCCAGGTTCTTCATTCGCCCTCAATTGTGGCAGAGCTTCTAAAACCGCAATTTCCAGATTAGCAAGCGGTCACACAAAGAGTCTCTCGTTTTTAGAAGGCAGGAGAATCTTTGAGGTCTGCTCCGAATGTCAAAGTGAGCAGGCGTCTCCTGAACACATCCTGGACTGTATGGGACTTCCAGAGAGGACATATACTTATCCCCCCTTCTGGTCCTCAATTTCCTTAGAATCGACAGTCTGATGGACCTTGTCTGACTTCGTCAGGCATCTGGCGGATAAGCCACAAGGTGACTAAAAAGTGTAGTGATAAACTTATAGGGAAGGCAGGGTCTAAGGAAAGTGTGTTGTATAGTGGACCGTATCTTTTTCTGACAAGCTTAAATATTTCCACCACACACTCGAGGAACTTTGCTTTCAGTATGTGAAGTTGATACCAGTACCAACAGAAGCTATCTGTGTTGGTGATTACTATAGGTTTTCCAGGCATGTTTCAGAAATTTTTTTGATTTTCTAGTTTCTGTATAATTTTCTTCAATCTACTAGCGGGAAAATAAAACCATAAAGCAGTAATTTCCAAGATGGCAGAAAGCCTCCAGCGCGGCATCGGGTAATGCAGATTATTTAGCATCCTGGTTTTCATTCTATTGCTAAGGAACAAACAAATAAATCGCAGAAAATTGGCCAGACTATTTTATAAAACATCTCTAACCCTGTTTCGAACAAAAATTTGAAAAACTGAATTGAGGAAATAATTATTATTATTATTATTTTTTTTTGTTACTAGAAAACAGACCAGCGTAGCGTTTTATTTCAGTATTGTATAACATTCAACTTAAATTTAAACACAAAGTTTTTCTATATAATTTTTTAAGGACCTTATATTAACAAATTTGGTTACATGTATGTTAGCTTAAGCTGTATTTTGTACAATAATAATCTCTGTCCGAGTGTGCTGAGATCGCAGACAAATTTGGATTTGTGAACGTAGCATGCTTCAGATTCACACAGTATATTCTGCTAATAGGGTCATATCCCATAAACAGTACTGTTATAGTTAAAATGTCATTCACACAACAATAAAAATTCCTTTTTATAATAATCTATTTTCATCACAAAAATAAAAAAGGGTATACTTATTGCACCTTTAATCAGTCTCTGTATTGTACCTATGCAAGATTTGTGTAAAAGTTCTAGTTAGCACAAAAATTTTATTACTCACAACAGGAGAAAATTTTTACGCTTCAAGTAAAGCAGCAAATGTTTAAAAAATGACAATAACACATCATTTGGTATTGCATTAGTGATTAATTCAATCTATTTTAATTTATGCAGGCTACTTAAAATTAGTTTGGATTACAAGAGAAAATAAAGCAACCAATTGACAAAACTCAAAATGGGTGCCATCCAAGGGCCTAGTTACAACACCATGTTTTAGCATGGATCAACGTTTTTTACTTCAAAAAATATTTCCTTTTGAAGTGTAAATTATATTTATATACAAGCAAAGAATCCATTTCTTACAAATTATTTTATTCAACCCACTGGCAGTTAGCAAAAGGACAAAATTGGAAGAATGTTTCACCCCTTTACACTATTTCCCTATCTAATAATATGGAAAAATAGGTTTTGTTACGCAGAGAAGACTGCAGGTCGAAATCTAACTTGTTACGTGCAAAACTGTCAGTGGGTTAACTAACATAAAAAAATTATTTTTAACAAATAAAAGCAAAAAAAAATTTTTTTTTTTACCAAGCAGTTATTTAAACAACAACAGTTTTCATAAAAAAAAGAAGTTAAGATTGGTTAATATACAACACTGTCCCCAACTTGCTTTTCTGAAAAGGAGGATTTTCATTCAAGATAAAAACTAGATTTTTAAATGCAAAATAGTTTATGTTTTCACATGCATTATTTTTAATAGTATTATTTTAACAAGAGAAAAGATTTTTCTCTAACTTGATAATATCACAATCAACCATAACTTACTCATAGGTAGTGATATGTTCAGAAGAGAGAACCAGGTGATTGAAACTTTAATCATACCCAAAATAATTTAAAACTACATTATTTGATTGTTCAAGTTGAATATAGAATGGAATAATCCAGTTTCGACCTTCTTCCAAATCACTCGATCCCCCTTCTGAATACATCACAATTCATGGGAAAATATGCATACCTTTAAAAATCCTTCAAGGTCTTTAGGATCTACAGATCGATGTATCAGTTGAGAGGATGTTTTTAGTAACTGGCAGCAAGGATTTACCCACTCTTTAATGTTACTGACTAAAAAAAAAAAATTTTAGAACAGAATTATGAGATGACCCCTATTTTTTTTCTGTATCATAAACCAGGAGTTACTACTCTGAAGTTGCAGAAGATTAGAAAATTTTAGCAAGTAATATTTAATGAAATAGAATCAAATAAAATATTAGAATTCTATTCTTTTTCTCCTTCGAAGTTTTAAATAAGTAATTTATCAAATATTATGCGTAATTTTTAAAAAAGGAAAAAAAAAGCAGAATTTTGATTAAAACAATACCGAATTAGATAACAATTTTTGAAGTACAAATTATTTTTCGCAGAAAATATTGTTAGCTTGAAATTATCATCAAAGCCACTGCAAATGAGATAATATTCCATTTTTTCCACAAGAATTTTTGATTTTTGAAGTACAAAACAATAATACTGTGAGAGTGAAACAGATTTCTTACATATCTACTGTTTTTTTGAATCAATAAGCACTTTTGCTCAAACTGATCACCTGAGGAAGAATTTTTCCCCATATATTTTGTAGAAAATTGTACAAAAAATCTAATTACAATAAATTTGTTTTAATATAGAATTTTATGAACAAAGTGAAAAATTCAATTTTCTCAAAATTTAATTTAAACAAGTTTGAATTACCTATGCTTAATTGAATTAAAATAATGGGAAATTCAAAATCTAATTGAAATATTGTAACTAATTAACTTTTGTAATAATATAATTTGATAGAAGCTAAGCTAAAATGTTTAAGAAAGTAAAAATACAGGGACAGCAACATTAAAAATATGAAATGTAAGTTATTTGTCTCATTAACCAGTAATAATAAGGATACTCTGAATAGTTCTTTGCATTAAAGGTAAAATATAAATATAGTTCAATCGAAACTGAGTACTAGGTTTTTTTATAAGTACTGTAAATTTATGAATTCAGAATATTTTAAATAAATTCAGAATTATAAATTTTAAATAATTTCAGTAAATTCAGAATATGTTAAATAAATTTTCCCTTTATAAGTTTAAATATAGTATTTGTAAGGCAATATACAAATAAATAGGGTTATACAGCCAAACCCCACTATAGTGAACCTTCAAGGGGACCAAAATTTCACTATATCCATACTGCAAACAATTTTAACTAATTTTTCCGAACTGCTCCTTTTTATTACATTATTTAAATAAATTACCTATAAAAAGAAATTCAAAAATGATTAAAAAACAATATGAAGTAACAAAAAATGTGTTAACTTTTATTTTTCATTACTCTTCGTCTTGGGTACAAAAAATTTAGGGATGGCCCTTATTTAGAAATGGGAAACTGAGATAGAAGTAGCAAATAAGAAAAAATACTTACGGCTACAATCCAATCAATAGATAAAAATTGGTATATGTATTTTATGTAGAAATTTCAAAAACACCAAAAAATGAAGAAGAAAAATCAGTCAAAGACAGAAAAAAGTTCATAATATCCAATTTCCTCTTTCTTTCGGTTCACGATATCCACAAAAAATAATATTATATGTGTATAGCAAGACACAGGATCAAATATTTCGTTCACTATAACGGGGTTTAACTATATTACTTATCCAACATAACTAGCACAGTAATATCGTTTTGAGTTTTTAAGCACTGTGCACAATTACTTGCAATTTAATAAAGTGAAGTCTTTTTTTCCCTTTTAAAATTATTTTGCCGTAAATTGTACTCTTATATAACACAGTGTACTTAATGGGTTAAAGAATTTTCTGCCGTCAAAATTAGTAAAATGGAAAACAACAATCATGTTATATAAAACCATCAATAGACCAGAAACTTGGGCTACGATAAAATTTCATGAAAATCGACAAGCCATCTTCGAGGAAAAAGTATTGAGAAGGATTCTGAGTGCAGTGAATAACAATGGTACATGAAGGCACAGATCCAACAATAGAGAAGCAGATATTATCAACTGTAAACTGCATGAAATTTGCTGGTTGCATCTACTACTCCTTAACATCCAGAATCTTTCATTTTAAACCGATTGGAACAGAACCAGAGACAAGCCTAGACTAAAATAAATTGACTGCCTTAATGGAGATTTTGAAGCACAAAGAGTGAACAACCAAAACATCCTGACAAGGAAGTAGCAGAATAAAAAAATTCTAAAAAAAGACCTTAGCCCACAAAAGGCTGTTAAGTCAGTAAAAAAGAAATATGTAAAAGTTTGTTAAGACTGGGTGGCTACATACACCCAGAAAAAAAGTTTATCTGATTTTTTCAGAGTGGTTCCAGAAAGGAATCTTTTCACAATAAGATGCCTATATATGGGAGAGCGTGTGTGCAATATTGCAATAATACACAAATATTCCAAGTGCTTGTTGAAAATTTGAATAGGGTATAAGTTAAACTGGCTTCTCAGAAAAGTAGATAATTCAATCATAAATACTGCTCTGATTAATATACACACACATCAGTCATAGTAACTCTTATATCACCTAACTTACTAAAGTCAAAATAGCCATAAAGAGTAAAATAATCCAACTAACTTTTTTCATTGTGTTTAGAAAATATTCGAATGGTGAACACAGCTAAAGAAATAACAACCAACTGTTCTCGCAGATGAATGGTGTCAATATTGGAAGCAACTTCAGAAATTATTTTGTAAATAGGATTCAAGTCTTCCTCTTTTACAAAAGCTACATAGTCCCTAGAAATAAAAATAAACAACTATTAAATTTTATTCTATACAACAATTACAATGACAGTAAACTAAAGTTACTGAACCACCATTTTTTTTTTAATCAATTGTATTTTCAACTCCATTGAGATTTAAAAAAAATTTTTTTTTGACAACAGCAGTGATCAAATCAATAAGTGGCAAAAATGAGATAATGTATCAAAGTCATTTATATGCCAGTTTTGTTTTTGGGAAAAAAAGAAGGCCAAGTTAATATATTTATGGTGGCTACATTGTCAAAAGCTATTTATATTGATTGGGGATTTCTTCTCCAGAAAGAAAANAAAAAAAAAAAAAAAAAAAAAAATTGAAGTATTTTCAGGTTTGCCTTCCCAATAACATTTGGTGCTAAGTTTGTTTTCACAAAAAACAATAAAGTCCGGATTTTTGTACTGTGGCTGAATATTCATGTTACTCATTTTATAACATTTTGCACTCATTAAAAGAATAAGAAACTTCTGTTCTGAAAACTGCAAAGCCCAAAACAGTTTCAGGACTATCTCCAAAGATCTTTGATCTAAGATGACAAACATCACTGAAGATATTTGTCATCTTTTCCATAATTTTTAAAAACACATGAAAACCCCAAAAACTCTTAACACTCAAAGAAACAATTAAAACATTACTCAAATTCAAAAAAAGAAGTAATAAGAAAATAACTTTTAAAACAAGTCAAAATGTAAAAGTGCTAAAACCAAATTTGTCTTATTTTAATATTTTAGAAAGTTTGAAACACAAATCAGGCAAAAAATGAAGAATTTTAAAGATATGTATGTTAGCAAAACAGCACTTCATCAGGGGACACACTGTCTGCCAACATACAGGAGAGCCTTTCTGCCTCCAGTGGTAATATCAAAACCTGACTGTGCCCGGAGGTCAAATAATGGATAATAAACAAAATAAGAATAAGCAATTAAAATATCAAAAATTTTAAATAATCTTTTATAACAAGTATTTGAAGAATATATGTTTAGAAATTTTTGATAATTATTTGAGTAACGAGGACATTAACAGGGATGATTGGATTAATTTAGGCAATGTAAACATTTTTCAAAATTATCTTTTTAAGGGTACTTGTTTTTACAGACAAATTCAAAGTATCTCAATGGGTAATTATCATTTGAGTGCATTTGCTAATAATTTCTTAAATTTTTATGAATAAAAATTTTTACAACATAATTTATAAATTGGTTTTGATTTAATTAAAGATATTTATCCTAAAGAACTTAATTTAATAAAGACCAATTCAGATGAAAATAGTGCTAATTTTTTAGATCTTGATATTAAAATTCATAACCAAAAAATTTTCATGGGTTTAAACGATAAAAGATTTTAAGTTAAATGTTATTAGTTCAGCACATTTTAATTCCAACAACACTTTAAAGTTTTTAAGAATATTTTGATTGGTTAAATTATTAGGTTTAAATTTATTTGTAATAATAAAATGGATCTTCTTTCAGCTATTGAGAATTTCAAAGTCACATTAGAGAATAATAGTTTTGCTTTTAATTACTGTCATTATAATTTTTTATTTCAAAGTATTTTAAAGATGTTCAAATAATTCGGCCAATATTGAAGCCTGCATAATATTTCATTGCATTCACATATCAATTTTTGATTTGTTAATTGCTTGTTCTTATTTTGTTTATTCATTTTGAGGCCTCCGGGGTACAGTCAGTTTTTGGTATTACCACTGGAGACAGAAAGGCTCTCCTGTATGATGGCAGACAGTGTGTCCCCTGATGAAGTGCTGTTTTGCTAACATACATATCTTTAAAATTCTTCATTTTTTGCCTGATTTGTGTTTCAAACTTTCTAAATGATCAAATCAGCTATTTTAATAAGCTCTAAAAAGGAATTAATTATTAATTCAATACACTTGAACTACAAAATAGCTGATCTCCAGGAAAGTTTTTAAAACTGTTTATAAATTATGCACAGGTCCTCCGATTCATAACAGTAAACAGAAAAAAAGCCTGAGAAGGTCTGAAACAGACATTTAAACAGGCTTTGGTACATTTTCTCATTTTTGCTAAACATGGTCATTTTGAGTACCTTAGATGAGCATTTAGATATTTTTAATAATTGCAAAAAGTGGATTCTAATTTTTTGCTATTTTCGCACTGAATTAAAATCAAAAGTAAAGAATAAAAACTAAAGTCTTTAAACATTCACACAAGAGTAAACAAAAAAATCATACCAGAAAGGAGTTTTAATAAAAAATTATATGTTTGTAGCATAAAAACCTTGAACTAATCTTTTTTTTTTTAAATCTAAATTCTTGCTCTTAACACTAAACAAACCATGACCAGTCAAAAGACTGGTTATTGTATGTTGTATTCTAAGGTGTTCGTATGTTCAGTGTTAGTTTATTATTCAAAATTAAATGCTTTCTCACACTTCACATCCACCCTTTTAGTTCTATATTTAGATAAGTATGCAAGTAACATTTTACGTTTTAACTGTTAAAACTATAGTATTCCTCGACCAATTTGAAGGGCCAATTGTATTTACTAATGTTTCCCTTTCTGCATATGATTTAAAGGACTATTTTGCAAGATTTTCCTCAATTTTTATTCTAATTATTACCTTATTTATTCTTTTATAATATGTATCTCACGGTACAGAACATTAAAAAAAATTGATTGAGGATTATATTTTTAAAAATTATGTAAAGTTTCAAATTATATTTTTTAAGTTTTACAATGCAATAGAAATGGCAGGGATGACAAATTTGTTCTACTGAGGAAAAATCGCAAAAAAACCCGCCATGGAAGAAATAGATTGCTTCCAACTCAAGTAAAAGAATGGTAGGAACTCCTTATCCAAAAAGAATATCAAATATTTTAACACTTTTAAAACAGTTTAAAATTGCAGTCTAGCTTAAATAAAAATAATAATGTTTATCCTCAAACTATTTATTAAATCATTTTTAAATAAGCAAAAACTTAAATGCAATAATTGGATTAAAAAGAATTAAGAATTTCCTAAGAAGTTTAAATAACTAATTTAACAACAATTTTTTTTAAATGTAAATCGTATAGTAAAATCTAATTTTATAACTAAAGAACTGTTAAAACATAATAATCAAAGTTTTACTTCATATACTAAACATATAGGTTACTAAGAAATGCATATTGAAATCACGATTACAAATAACTAATAAATTTTTATAATGGCTATTAAGTATGAATACTCAAAGCAACTCTTAAATAATAAGATACATAGATTTTAAAATTCTGCATAAAACTACAAAAATAATATGAAAATAATTTTTTTTATATAAACCATTTTATATTAAGTATATGAGAATAACTTTTAATCTTCTAGTACTATATAAAATTTAACTAGTTTAAACTTCAGCTACTCTTATAATCATTCTAAACACTTGCATTTATCTTTTTTAGTTTTTTTCCCATTTAGTCCAGTTTTTTCCAGTGTTTTGGAAAAAATGGGTCTTTTTTCCAGACAAAATGCCAACCTTGAGACAAAGAGATAATCCAAAATTCATACTTACTTCTGCCAATGTCGAGATAGCATTAAGAACAATTCAGAAAGTAAAATAAGTATCTGTTGGTTGCTTTCAGTCAACTGAAAGAAAGTAAGACATCAGTAAAATGAAACATTTGCTGAATGAACATATGAGTTACAAAACATGCAAAGGTTATAAGTATTGTCTTTTAAGTTATGTAAAATTCAGAACGTATGGAAAAACTGCCTAATTTATCATCAGAAGGATTGTATTGTTTTAAAATCATTAAGATCTGAAATCCAAAATTATTAAGAAATAAATTAATTAAAAAAATGTTACCAATCTATCCTTGCAATACTAATCCCCCCCCCCAATATTAAGTAGATACTCTTATAGAATATCTGCTTTTCATGATTTCATTCAAGGAGAAAGTAGTGCATATAAAGGAAAATCTACACAAAAACATGCAGATTCTCAAGAGAACAAAAGACTAGAACAAAAACATAATTTTAAATTTAAAACAAGCATTGTGAATTATTTAGTAAATAAATAATTCTAGATACTAAACAATTTAAATGATAATTTATAGCCCTTAACACACACATGGGAGTAATAGGTCCAAAAATACCTATAAAATCATTAAAAAGTAAATATATAAAAAAAATTATGTGAAACTATTTTGCACAAAAAGAAAGCATTTAAATTATTTACTTACTTATTTTTTATTTAAAGTTTTGTACAATGACAACCCAACAAACTGCTAAACTTATAAATTATGATTAAAGAGAATAAAATAAAAAATAAAATAATGTTGAAATTTTGAGCAAAAATAGACCTTTTTTTTCTTTTATTATTTTCCCTCTGGATTTATTTCTTGTTCTCTATTATTTTCTTGTAACCACGTTAAATAAAACAAAAATATTTCTTTGCATTAAATATTTCTAATTTATTTTAATTTTCATTATCTAGACCTGAGTGAAAAAAGTTAATTACACAATAGTAAGTTATCCATATTACACCTTTCATTTATGGTTACAGTTTTATGTTCATCTTGGTCGTTTTTTTTTTTTTTTTTTTTTTTTTTTTTTTTTTTTTTTTAGTGACTTGCTACCTAAAAATGGTTGAGCATCACCTACAATACAGAGAGCTCGAGTCTCCGAAATATAAAATCAAAAAATAAGATATCTAAGATAACATTACCTCAGATGTAAATTGCTCCAAAATATTTTTCAATATTTGCTTTTTGGAATCCGATGTAAACAGAGCAGGTTCATACTATTAAAAAAAATTATATATAATAATTATAAAAAAAGACAAGAAATTCATAAAGAAAAATCACAACTGAAACAACAAGAGAGATGACAAAGTATTATTTTTCCAGTAAAGATTAACTGATTGGAAATATATATTTATGTTGTATCAAAGTTCAGTTATTGTTGATAAGGGAGTTTAAAAGGAAAAATTAAGGCTAATTGTTTTTTAAAAATCAATATGATTTTATTAAATTGTTAATTAATTTTTTTAATTAAACATTGTAAAATACAATTCCTAAGATGCTGGGCGGAGAGGATAAACGGCACTAAAAGAAAATCAGTTAAGATAAATGTTAATGATTTTAGTTACTGAAATAAGAATTTATAAAACAAAGTTAGCTCATTTTTGTGTTGCCATAGACATGATTGCTTTTATTAAAAATGGTTTACCTGAGTCACAGAGGATAAGAAATTTTTTTTAATTGTTTTAAAACGAAGCCAATACATTGTCTAAAATATTTAATACATTTTGTTAATATTTATAATACAACATTTGTGTTGAATATTGATTTGTAAATAATATTAAATATTTCTAGTTTATAATAAAATTAAAATTTTGTTGCAGATATTACGTTGTCGAGTCAATTTATTCTTAAAAGATTAATAATAGGTATGTTAATATTTTTCCAATTATATGCATTCCAAAGAGATGTTAGGCAAAAGTTGCAGTTGAGCATGTATTTTGTTGACTAAGACAGATCATGTATAAATTTGGAGATTTTTTTTCTCTGGTACTGCTAGTTCCTGCTGATAATACTTTTGAAGCTTTTAAACAATACAGTAGGGAAAACAACAATAATAAAATAATTTTAAAAACATAATGAAATGACAACTACAGTAGATTAGAACGTCGATTATCCGAGCTAATTGGGACGGCTCGTACCTTACATATCGGAAAACTCAGTTAATAGAAACTGTACATAAAAAAGTGCCTGATTTAAAATCTTTCAAATGAAAAACAACAGAATGATTTTCGAATGAAAAAAAATAAGCATTTATAAAGTTATGTTTCACAGCTTAACAATTTTAAAAAGGAAATCACCTACTAGTAGTAGATTTTAAAAAGCAAATAGAAATTTTTCTGAAACTATTTTTAAAATTAAACTTCAAGATGCATTTTCAAAACTAACACAAATCTCAAGAAATTATTGCAATTTTTTAAAAATTTAATATACATTAATTTGCGAATTTTACATTACTATTTCTTAAAATACTCTGTAACCTTTTATTGCAAAAGTACAATCTGATAACACATTGCACCTGGTTTTCAATAGGGCCACTGGAAACAAAGTATTGTTCGCCGCTGTTGACTTCTCAGGGTGCAATATTTCTTGGAAGTTGAGTGTTTTTGGGGGCAGTAGAGCTGGACAGCAAATTAAAAAGTGTGGTCTTTTTCAGGGCTCGTTCAGAAAAAAAAAACAGACTTCATTAATGGCTTGGTTAACAGAAATCTCAGGTAATGGAAGCTCAGTTAATCGAGTATAAATTACATCCTTGTATAGTTGATATTTCTCTGGCTAATGTAACCAAACAGTGGTTGGATTTTGGACAGGACATGTGAGATTGACAGTTCAAAAATATTCAATATGAAAACGTTTAAAACACTCATAACTACACAAAAAATAAATAATTAAATTTAATTTTAAATATAAGCTCAAAATTTGACTCGACTGATCCGATCGAGTGTGGCGAAAAACAGCCTGAATAACAAAATAGCCTTTTAACAAAACAGCAGCTGTTCAGCTTATTTCCTTGTAAAACCATAATATCTAGTTTTAAATATTTTAAGATTGATGGGTTAAACCATTTTAAATTTAAAATTAATTAAATACATTTAAAGACATGGACAGGAATAGAAGAAACAATAATAATAATAATAAAAAAAAAAACAGGTTTTTTTTTCTTTGAAAAAAATATAGGACAATTAAAAATAATGCATTACATACATTTCTTTAAATATGATCATAATCATTTAATAATCAAAAACTTGCCTTAATTAATATTTTTCTTTATTCAACAAAATTACACAGATTTTATTCTTAGATTACTAATATCAAAATAACATATTTTATTTTTTTCATTTACGGGACAAAAATTAAATTATGTATTTAAAAATTATTTAACTATCTCTCCCTTTGGAGTTACTTTTTTATGGAATTATTTTCTTCGTCAAATTTTCAAATATTTGTGGCCAGCATCAATTACAGTCTGAGATGCCTTAATTTTTCTTACATGCATTTTCTTTTCATTCCAGTCATGAGACACTAGCTGTCTGTGATTGGATGCTAAATACTCTCTCTTGCAGATCAGAAAATTTATCTGTTTTTGCCTATTCTTCCTGCTTTCAAATGCTGACTAAGAGTTTATAAAAACTATTTACTACTATTTCTAATACTTTGGAAAATAAAGAACAATAAAAGACTATTTTGCAGAAATAAGATAATATAGGACATTTTTTAAGGTTTAAAAAATATAATAAAATATAGGATTTATAATGAGACTTTGACCCCTGCATGGATTCACATTTAATAATAGTTCACTTATAAGTTAACTTGTTCTTTTTACAAGAAGAAAACAAAAACAGATGAATAACTTACTACAACAGTCACTAAAAGAAAGTCTCTCCAAGCAGTTAAAAGAGAAAATGAATCCAGTGAAGAAGGAGGAGCAAATAAATCAAGTTCCATTGAAGTTTCTTCAGCTGGGTCACTGTGCGGATGGCAGTGAATGTTCTGAAAGCATTTAAATAAACATCCTCTTAATATTAATTATTACATCAACACAAGAAACTGATTTCAAAGTTTACCAATTTCAGTTTAAAATTACAATATTTTTTGCACAAGGCTACTTTTGTGTCGGTCTGGTCTTAATCATTTGAGTACTTGCATTCCAAGAAGACCTCCCATACCCACACCTCCATACCCATGTGACCTATGACGTCATCAGCAATATGGAGTATTAAAGTTGAGCTAAGTTTCTCTACATAACTTAAACTGTTAATCAACGTCAAGTTCATTAAATACAGAGTCGTATAGCACACCAAATTTGTTGAAATATAATTTGTTCCAGTCTACTTCTTTTGCCTAACTTAAAATATTGTAACCGTGATATATTTTAGTTTTGTGTACCTGGCAACTTTGATGCATAATAAATTTATTTATGTTCTACATAGCTTTGTGTCGGCCTTTTGGTAAATATAGAGTGGCAGAATTGAAATATATGTGAAAGAATTTAGAATGTGTCACTTAAAAGAATTGATACTTGACGGGCTTGGTTTACTCGAAATAGAACGGAAAGAACAGTTGCTAACGTAAATAAATGCCACGTTTCAACAACCAATCAGGATCGAGATATCCACACTACCTCATTTGTAGGTATCCCATTGAAATAAATTATTTAACATTGTTAAAAATTCAATTTTAACGAAAGGCTATAATTTTTCATTAATATTATTCTATTTTAAACGTATGAACTAATTTCTTTTATTTTTCTGGTTATTTTAAATTGGATGGCATCAAAATGTAAAACTAAAACACAATACAATATCGGCCTGCCCATTAGCAATAAAGTATAAATACATTTTCTTACCTCAGCCCATTTCAGCAATAATTTCTTTTCTTGAATACTTTTCAAAACATTTTGAACAAGTTGGTGTAAGTTATTCCTAATATAAATTTAAAACAAATATAATGCTAAAACAGAGAACATTTAACATAAAAACAACATCAATTATAAACAGAATTTTTGGGTTATCTGAACAGAAAATAATCACAATCAGTATAGCAAGGTTCTACTCTTATTTTAATTAGTAAAACCTCAACATCTTTATAGTATTAATTATTTCCAGGTTAACGGGGTGACACCAAGCAGTTTCAAAAATCAAAATTAAATTGAAATGGGATAAAAATACAATTAGGCATAAAGATAAAATTAAAATATTGATTAAAATCTTATAACTAAGAGTGTAAAAAAAAAACTTACCGCCCACTATAAAATATTTCCAGAGCAAGAGTTCGGATGATGTAGGCATTAATTCCAGGAGCATCCAGAAGTGATTCACTGTTTAGAATTGAATTGCAGGTCAAATTCCAAAATTGCTGACTGTTAAGAAAAAATACAGTTTTTTAATAAAAACATGAACTTAAAAAATAAAGCAAATAATAATAATAAAAAATATTAATGATAATGTAAATAATAATAAGGAATTAATTCCAAGGGTAGCAATTGTTCAGAATTGAATTGCAGGTCAAATTCCAAAATTGCTGACTGTTAAGAAAAAATAATAAATACAGTTTTTTAATAAAAACATGAACTTAAAAAATAAAGTAAATAATAATGTAGGAATTAATTCCAAGAGTAGCGATTGTTCAGAATTGAATTGCAGATCAAATTCCAAAACTGCTGACTGTTAAGAAAAAACAATAAATACAGTTTTTTATTAAAAACATGAACTTAAAAAATAAAGTAAATAATAATAATAATGAATACTAGTGATAATGTAAATAATAATAATAATGTAGGAATTAATTCCAAGAGTAGCGAATGTTCAGAATTGAATTGCATGTCAAATTCCAAAATTGCTTACTGTTAAAAAAAATTATGATGCAAGTAGTTTTTATAATAAAATCAATAAAAATATGATCTTTCACTAAAATTAAGGTGAGAAAATATAAAAGCAGAGAAGAGACTTTGAGAGGTCCTAACCGAAACATTTTGTGGGGCCTGTAGGAAAATGGATAATTTAGAATCATATTAAGAATTTTGTCTCATATCGATTATATGGTGCTTTAACGCAGTGGTTCTTAACCTATGGGTCGCGAAACATATTTCTTGGGTCACGCTGAGTCAAACCAAAAAATTTAGTAATGCACCAAATAATAAGTAATACCAACACCTCCTAGAAGAAGTCATTGTGGCTTACTCAGCCTAGGCTTAATGAGGTACCTGGGTAATTCCATACCCTTAATCCTCGTTCATAATAATTAAAAATGGCACACGACTCAAAATTAGTTTAGCATATCAAGGTGCAAAATTAATATAAGAATAAAAGATACTTATTAGTTAATGTTTAAAATAAAAAAGAAAATAAAAAAGTAAAAAAGAATTAACATAAGGGCCCTCTCTAAGAGCTGCTGAAGAGCTGTCAGCCGAAAAGGGGCGTGTCTTATTGCCATTGCGAAGCGCATTTTAGAAACAAATTTTGTCTTATTGTTAATAGTGGAGTGATCAAGCTGCAGTGCTTATTGTAAAATTGTAATCACCCTAATAATGGCAAAAAGTGAATGCAAGGAAGCATTTTTAGAATTAGGTTTTACTTGCATTTATGATCGAGGAGTAAACAAGCCGCAATGCGTGTTGTGCAGTGAAATATTAATTAATGAATCGATGAAACCGAACAAACTTAAAAGACATTTTGATGCAAAACATAAAAATTTTTCCTTTGAGGGAAAAGATCGTACTTTTTTCGAAAGAAAAGAAGCCCATTTAAAAAGACATCGTTTGGATGCACCAAGTAGTAGTGGTTTTATAAATTCTGCCAAACAAGCTACACTTGCTTCTTTTCATGTGGCTTGGCATATTGCAAGACAAAAGAAACCCAATAATATTGCTGAAAAACTTATAAAACCTGCTGCCATTGGCATGGCACGTATCATGTGCGGAGATAAAAGTTCAAAGAAATTACAAAAGATACCATTATCAAATGATACAATTCGCTTACGAATTAATGATATGTCATTTGATATTAAGAATCAACTTATTTCTGCTATAAAAATTGCTGGTTTATTTAGTATTCAACTGGATGAAACGACAGATGTAAGTAAAGATGTTCAACTCATGGTTTGCGTGCTGTATCCAGGTTTAACAGATATACTGGAGGACATTTTATTTTGCAAACCAATGTCAACAACAACTAGAGGTGAAGATATTTTTCTTATAGTCGATTCGTTTTTTAAAGATGAAGGATTAAATTGGAATCAGTGTTTCAGTATTTGCACGGACGGTGCAGCTGCCATGACAGCATCTCAAAAGGGATTTTCGACAAGAGCAAAACAAATGAATCCACAAATTATATCGATTCATTGTTTGTTACATAGACAAAATCTTGCTTCAAAAAAATTATCACCCGAATTATGTATCGTTTTGGATGAAATTGTTGCGGTAGTCAATTTTATCAAATCAAGAGCTCGTGACTGTAGAATTTTCCGCGAGCTGTGTTTCGAATCTGGTGCAGAATACGAACATTTATTATATTATTCTGAAGTTAGATGGCTGTCCCGGGGCAAAGTTGTTCAAAGAGTACTATCATTACGGACAGAAGTCGAATTATTTTTGAGAGAAACAAAACACCCATTAGCATCTAAATTCTCCGAGTTGAAGTGGATTACTCAAGTTGCTTATTTGTCAGATATTTTATTTGAAATAAATAATCTAAATACGTCTATGCAAGGACGTAATCATACTATTATTGAATTAACTGAAAAAATTACATGTTTTAAAAATAAACTCAAATTATGGAGAAATAAGGTTGAAGTAAAGACACTTGCTTCATTTCCGACTCTTAATTTACTTGTTGAGGACAATAATATTGATATCACAGATTTTGAAATACAGAAAATTAGTATTAATCATTTAGAAAAACTAATAGCAGACTTAGATCTATATTTCCCTGCAGACGATGTTTTCAAATATAATTGGGTTCGAATACCATTTAATTTTGATGTAAGTGATTTGCATGAGGAATTTGTTAATATTAATCAATTTCAAGAACAATTAATAGAAATACAAAGTGACCAAGCACTTCAATACAATTTCTACAAAAACATTGAATCTTTATGTGCTTTCTGGTTAAAATTAAAAACCGAAAAGTCAATAATTGTTAAAGAAGCCCTAAAAGTATTATTGCCCTTTTCAACAACATATGTGTGTGAAGCTGGTTTTTCGGCTCGGTGTGTAATCAAAAACAATTACCGGAACTAGTTAAATCCTGAAATAGATATAAGGTGCTCCTTGACAAGCATTCAACCGAGGTTTGAAGATCTTTCTAAATGTATTCAAGCACAAGGTTCTCATTAAAACTGTATGACTTGTATTTAAAATTTAAAAAACTTAACATATGTATTGATATTTCTTTTTTTTAAGGAATAAGTTAAAATGCCAATTATTTTCAAAAAGTTATAAATATATTTTAATTTGGTCAATAAAAATTATTAAAAACACTTGATTATTAATTAAATTTTCCTTAGATCGAAAAGTACTTTGGTTTATCTTTATTATTAAAAAAATTAAGAAAAAATTTGTAAGTTAAAAAAAATCATCATCGTAGGATTGAAGATTTTTTAAAAATACGACCTAAAATAAAGCAATGAAAAAATTGTGACTTTTTTTTGGGTTGCGACATGAACATATTTCTCAAATTTGGGTCGCGGCTTAAAAAAGTTAAGAACCACTGCTTTACAGGACCAAATGTTAAAAAAAGGGATAGAAAAGGAACCAAAATGAAAAAGGGTACTTTACAGGACCAAATGTTAAAAAAAAAGGGATAGAAAAAGGGCACTTTACAGGACCAAAACTCTAAACATACCGCTTTTATAAAACTTCATTCTAATTCGTCCCAAAGGTGCTCTCTGCGGCTCTGAGAAGGCTAGTTCAGTTTTTGAACACCCATTTTGTCAAGCC